TCACTGCGGCTGCTGGCCGCTCACGCTGGCTGCTGGCTACACACGGTAGCCCATGGCAACCCACTGCCACAGGGGCTGCAGCCTGCCAGTGACTCACGGCAGCCCAGCTCCAGGTTGAGCTGTTGTTCAGCATCTTAGCTGTAGAGGGCAGTGTCACAGGCCCTCATAATGTGGGATCCGAACCGGGGCCCTCTGGCATCCCAAGCCAGTTCTTAACCATCGTGCCACTTGGCCGGCCCTCTCCAAAAGTTTTTAAGTGCTTGCTATTATTCATTGCTATAGTAAACCCATCTACCAGTAAGAAAGTGTTTGCATCCTCTCACAGGTCCAAGGGCCACACTTAGTAGCACTGCCTTAGCGGATGTCAGTTCACAGAGCTCACTCCATATGAGCTTCGTTCAATTTTTCAAATGTCCAGCGTACAGAATCAAAGCCTTTACCGATCCAATGACCAACGCAGCTCTCGCACAGTGGGTTGAAATTGCAGAAAGCAGTTCTATAATGACACTCAACATTTTACTTCTGGGAATCTGGGAACTCAGATGGTTTTACCAAGTATTTTATTAGGCACGTGTGTGGGGAAACCAGGATACCTGCTCTGTGAAACGTACGCTTTGGGAGTGGCCTCCCTATAGCCAGGGCTGTCTTGTGTATCTGTGACACACGCCCATTTCCTTTTGGCTTGCTCCACTCAGCACCTCCTTGTTCTGTCGCCCTCAGCAGCCCTTGTTTTTTTGTCTAGGGTACATCACGGAGGGGTTCCTGCTTATGCAGCACGCCGTGGACAAGGCCATCCTGAAGCACCACAACAGCACGGCGGCACAGCAGCTGTTCCAAGACGTCAGCGTTTTCGTTCAGAGATTCCCATACCCGATGTATTACCATGATCATTTCTTTAGGTTTTTTAATATTTTCATCCCCTTAGTCATCTTGTTTGTCTTCTCTATGAACCATCTCACCCTCGTTCAATCTGTGGTGTGGGAAAAGGAAAACCGGCTGAAGGTACGCCCGCTTTCCCTGCGGCAGGCGGAGCTCTGCAGAAAACGCTGGGTCTGTGGGGCAGATGCGGGCGGAGGAGGGCTCGGCGGTTTCTACCCACTCAGCACCGGTGGATGGTTGAGTTTCAGGAGCAGCCAAGAAGCGAGCACTTAGCATGGCTTGGCAGTTTTTTTGTTGTTGTTTTTTTTTTTAACAATTTTGTTGTTCTTTGAATTCTTGGTTTGTTTTTTTTTTAGTTTTGTTTCTACAAGACAACTTCACAAGAATATCGCAGATGAAATTTGTAAATGTCAAATGCCCTGAAACCCCTGAACTACAAAGACATAATCCGTTGGGCCTGTGGAATTGTGTCTAGATGGATTTAGATAAAACTCAGTTTCAAGATTCTATATTTAACCAATTTCTGATCTCTGAAATATTTTTTTTTCCCTGAGTGACCTTTTGTATCCCCTCCAGAACTGTGTCTTGGTGAAGAGCAGGAAAACCTAAATACCTTTCCTTCCAGCCAGAGCGAATGGCTTATTTTTGAAATTTCCTGTACCATCATGTTTCCTCTGACTGTAATGCCTTTCTCTCTTTTCTGACTGGAGAGTAGTTAACTTACCTCCCTCAGATTTTACAGCTGCCCATCTATCTCCTATTGCTAGCTCTATTTAACTCTCAGGTATAAATTAACACTGTTTCTTAACGTCCCCAGAGTGTGATACACAAAGACTCACCACGTGGCTTAAAATATTCTTTAGTTTTCATTTAAATTTTTTTCACTGAAGTATAATATTCATACACATAGAAAAATGCCTAAATCACAAGCGTGTGTGTCATCATCCATTCAGGCTAGTGTAATAACAATCCCACAAACTGAGTAGCTTTACAACATAAGAATTTCGAAGGGACACAAATAGTCAAACTGTAGTAGTATAACGACTGGGTTTATCATGAAGAAAGTAGGCCCATTGTATCATGACCCCGTTAGGAAATAAAATTGTCAGGACTAGAGGGCTGCTTGCTTGCATACAGTGAAAATACAACTCCTCAAAAATGCTGATGTACAACTAAGCTTTGAGGTAAATTTATGACTTTCAATGACTTATTAAAAATGAAGACAGAGGGGCCGGCCGAGTGGCTCAGTTGGTTAAGAGCTCGCTCAAGAGTGCGAGCTCTGAGCAACAGGGTCGCCGGTTCAATTCCCGGCCCGAGCTGAGCTGCCGCAAAGATGCCAACAGGTGGCAGGATGGCTCAGCTAAAAAAAAAAAAAAAAAAAAAAGACAGGTAATCAGCGATCTTAGCATCTTGCTTAAGAAGCTATAAAAAGAGCAATTTAAAAGAAAGAAAGAAGAAGGGAGGGAGGAAAGGGAAATACAAAGTTAATTTTTTATTGAGGTATAATTGACATAATATTAGTTTCAGGTGTAGAAAGAAACGATTCAATAGTTGTGTACATTATGAAATGATCGCCGCCATAAGTCTAGGTAGCATCCATCACCATACGTAGTTACAACGATTTTTTTTCTTGTGATGATATCTTTTAGGACCTGCTCTCCAGCAACTTTCAAATATACAATATAGTGTTGTTAGCTGTAGTCCCCATGCTGTACATTACATTCCCATGACTTATTTATTTTATAAGTGGAAGTTTGTGCCTTTTTGACCCCCTTCACTCATTTTGCCCACCCCCCTTCTCCCGTCTCTGGCAGCCACCAGCCTCTGCTCTCTCCATGAGCTTGTTTTTGTTGTTTGTGTTGTCTTTGTTTAGACTCCACCTACAAGTGGGATCATATGGCATTTATCTTTTTCTGTCAGACTTATGTCACTTAGCATAATGCCCTCAAGGTCCTTCACATTGAGAGGAAGTTTCAGAGGTTTCCCCACCACCACCCTCCCCCCCACACACACACACACACATGCATAGACATCCCTATAACCAGCATCCCTCTCCAGAGCGGGACATATATTACAAGTGATGAACTTACATCAACACAGTGAAATCATTCATCGTCCGTAGTTCAAATTAGGGTTCACTGTGGAGGTTGTACATTCCTTCAGTACCTCCTGGAAGAGGACATCATAAACAGAAAGGGGACATTAATCTAAGTGGTTTATAGTATAAGTGGGGTGTTGTTTTTTTTATGTCTGAGGAAACCCTCTCTGAGCTTATAAGCATCACAGCACTGCCACTCACTAGCTGAAGAATTTTAATCAAGCCACTTGACATTCTGAGCCTTGATTCCATCTTCTGTGAACTGGGCACGTTGATGTTATGGAATCCACTTGGGTTGTAGTGCTGATGAAACCAGATAATACCTGTTGCATGCCTTTTGTATCATCACACAGCTCCACCTACTTGGTTTGTGTTGCCGCCTCCACAGGAGTACCAGCTCATGATAGGACTCAGTAACTGGATGCTCTGGGCCGCCTATTTCTTCACATTCCTCACTTTTTATTCCGTCGTCATCTTTCTGATGTGCCTCATTCTCTTTGCCAAGGCAAGTGTCTGTGTGAGTGCAGCTAGACTGGAAGAGGGCGAGCAGAGATGTGGGGCGGCCTCATGGAGGGGTCACGTGCCCGTTCTCGTACCTCCGCCAACGACGCCTTAACCCTAGACGTGGGGGCTCTCGAGTCAGGGAATTGTTCACTCTCCATTTCCCTGAGCAGTGTCGTCCGTGTCACTCAGACTGTTAAAATGTTTGCACATGTCTCATTTCTCCTTTTTAAAAAAAAAAATTTTTTTTCTTTATTGGGGAACAGTATGTTTTTCCAGGACCCATCAGCTCCAAGTCAAGTCGTTGGTTCAATCTAGTTGTGGAGGGCGCAGCTCAGTGGTCCATGTGGGGATCAAGCCGGCAACCTCGGTGTGATGAGCCTGCGCTCCAACCACCTGAGCTCACCGGCCGCTCCTCATTCCTCCTCTTTGTTTTTTCGGTGACACCACTTGGAGCCTGACTAAACCTGCTTCCTGATTGTTTTGCTAGACGGAGCCTGTGCCCATCATCCAGTACAGTGACCCATCGCTCATCTTTGTCTTTTTGCTGTGTTTTGCCACCATCACAATCTTCTTCAGCTTCATGGTCAGCACATTCTTCAGTAAAGGTGAGTCTAAAATGCCTCCTGGGAAACATTCCAGCGACTAGGTGAGGGTTCTGCTCGGAAGCTCCTTCTGAACTTTTATTATATCTGAACCTCGTCTATAGGCTGTTTACTGAAAAGACGAATATCATAGGCACATGAAATGATTTGAAAGGCAACGAAGACAGCATTAGAATGAACAGGGCATAGTAAGCATGTGAAGAAAGGGTAAGAAACCAAAGTTAGGTCATATTTGCGTGTTTCTTTCTAACCTTGAGCTGCTATGGCGTCTGTTTAACCATCTACCAGGAAGGGCTGAGAGTGAGACGGCTTTTGTATAATCTGTTGGTGGGGCTAAAATCTGCCGGTACCTGACGGATGGTACTGTAGTATGTGAAGAGGAAGAAAATAACAAAATCGCTTGACTGAAAGAAAGCGTCCTTGCACTTAGTTAATAGATCCTTATTGTGTGTCTGCTGTGTGTTTGAAATACAGTGCCTGCCCCTGTAGATCTGACATTGACCTTGGGGACATGAATTTCATATGCACAGAAAATTATTTGACAGGACATGCAGAAAGCAATGAAAATGAATGGAGCATGATGTACGCATGAAAAAAGGATGAAAATCCTCCAACTTCAGATTGAAGTTGACATAAACCTAAGAATGCTTGCTTGTAGAGGTTAGTTTTTAAACATCATATTCTTTATTTTAGTTCTTGTTTTCTTCATTTCTGACGGGTTCGTTTTTATGTTTTCTATCTTCATTTTTATGTTTCATATTTCTTCTTTGAGCATCCTTGTAACCAGTGTTTTGAACTCTGCATCTGGTAGAATGCTTGTCTCCAATTTGTTTAGTTCTTTTTCTGGAGCTTTGTTCTGTTCTTTCATTTGAGACATGTTTCTTTGTCTCCCCATTTTGGCTGCCTGCGTGTGTTTGTTTCTATGTATTAGGTAGCGTTGCTATGTCTCCCGGTCTTAATAAAGAATGGCCTTATGTAGTAGGTGTCCTGCGGGGTCCAGTGGTGCAGTCTCCCTGGCGACCTAAGCTAGGTGCCCCAGGCGTGTCCCTTGTGGGTTGTGTGTGTCCTCCTGTTGTGGTTGAGCCTTGGTTGCTGTTTGCACATCAGTGGGAGGGATTGACTCTCAGGCTGATTGGTTGTGAGGACTGGCCGTGACTACAGTGGAGGAGGTGTTGTACAGGGACTGACCCCACAGAGCAGGATTCACTTTAGTAGGGCTCTGGTGCCTGCCCAGTTTGCCCTTTGGGTGTGTCATCTATGGAGGTGGCCAGGAGGTGCTGTGGTGTGGTCTGAAGTGAGCCACTGGCATGCTAGCTCTGGGGCCTCCTGGGAGGGTGCCACCACAGGCCAAGTTCAGCTGCCACTTGTGTGCCCTGCCCAAGGCCACCTGGCATGAGCCACGAAGCGATCCGCAGATATCTTTCACCCACACTGGGATTGAACATGCCAGAAGTTATGGGGATTGTAGATGTCTATATGTATTCTAAAAGTTCTGTTATTTTTTTACCTTGTGCGTTTCGATGTTGTGCTATCAGGTGCATGGATATATTGCCATTGTTGTCTCTAATTTGTCTCCTCTCATTCTCTTTAAAGTTTTAATTGTAAAAAATAACACACATTGATTAGTACAAGAACATAAATGTTCTGGTTGGTGAATGAGGTATGTGGAGGGAGGTGTGAGGTAAGAGGGCTAGCAAGAATCACTCCTAATAGTGGGATAACATTTTACTTCATAATATCCAATTTTTATTTGGATGCTGCATTTTAACTCTAGATGAAGTTAATTGGTCTCTTCACAAGAATTTTATTTTCAATGTTTTATCAGTCACATTTTTGGGACACTTTATACTCTGAACCATATCTGACTCTTTGACACCAACTTTGTACCTCTCTGTTTATGTAGGCATCCTTCTTTCACCCATTATCATGACATAGACTGAATATCAGTGTCTGGAAACAGTCTAGGTATTTTCTGATTACACCAGTAATAGCATTTACAATATTTTATGTTGAGTGATAATAAATATGTAAATTTCCATCTCTACTAGTCAAACTGACTGCATATAGAATAAATGCAAAAAAATAGATCCTGAAATGTTTAATTTTCACCTTTTAGTCATTCAAAAAATACTTTATAATGTGCAGAGGAAGCAATGGTGAACAAAACAGACAATTGTTTTCTCAATGTGCTTACTTTAGTACACTCTTAACGATAAAACAAATATATTTGTATTTCAGGTTTTTGCAGATCGTTTAAATTGACCTTGTAATTTCCTTCTTATTTGCAGTAAATTATGCTGTATCTATTGGAGGTTTCATTTATTTTGCCACCTACTTCCCAGCTACCAGCATGCCCTCCAATTACACACACATGACACTCTTCCAGAAGCTGGCTGCCTGTCTGAGCTCAAATATTATCATGGCCCTGGGAACTAAATTCCTAGTCAGGGCAGAAATGGACAGTGAGTATCTATCTACCTTGTAAATTTTGCCATGTTCTAATCGGATAGTCACAGTTTTAATATTGATATTGCTAAACTGTCCTTGAGAGAAAATTCAGTTATACCCCATCAGCGTGTCCACATTTTCTCCATAAATTGACTGACGTCTGTCAGGGTCTCTCGCAGCTCCTTTTGGAGTTGTCACCTGCTGTTCAGTGGTAGAGGAGGAAGTGACAAGGTCTGCATCTTCCTTTTCCATCAGTGCAAGGTCTATGCAAAAATCCCTCTAGTCTTCTGTAGTGCCTCCACCTCAACTTTTCAATGATTACGTTTTTCTAGAATTATATATTCCAGTGACCACTTAGCATGAGGAGTGGGGAGAGAGGAAACACCATCTTATTTTTCTCAGAGCTTGTTTTCCTGGCTTTTCAGTATAATATTTATTTTTGTTTCACTCATTACTGCTTGTTTGTCTGTGACATCGCAGGAGGCATATTACAAGAATGACTTGCTCAGATGTCCTAAATTCTAACAGTAGAAGAAAGTAGCTGAACATAATAGGAATCCCTAGAGAACATTAACACATTTTTTTCTTCTTCACTTTTTACTTATGATGCAGATGAGTAGCTCTGTTTCAGTTGGCACCTAAATTAAACATCTCCCGTTCTGTCTTAGAAACTGGAATTAAATGGAGTAACATGTTCTCACCAATCACAGTGGAGAAGTTTGTCTTTGCCTATATTCTGAGAATGTTTTTATTTCATGCTGTCTTGTATGGCCTTGTGGCCTGGTATATCGACGCAGTCTTTCCGGGAGAGTATGGTGTGGCCAAGCCGTGGTACTTTTTCTTGCTGGTGAGTTGTGATGCTTCTGTTAGTGAGAGATACCACAGCCCTTAGGGATCTGTTTTGTACTCTATGTAAAAGCCATCATTAGTTAATTCGGTACGTCCTGTAACTGAATCAGCAGGTCAGGGGAAAGAAACATTCTGATGACTCTAAACATATGAGTTCACCAGCCCTTCCCTAACATATGATAAAGCCTCCATTATATATAAATATAAATAATCTGTAGCTCACGGCCTGCAACCCCCAGCCTTGCAAATCCTGAGTAATCCATCGCTTTTGCAGGCAAGTGTTTCATAAGGGAGTGAACTCCAGCATAAAGAAATTAAAATAAGATGGGTCTTTGGATGCTAACAAGAAGAGATTTTGTTGTATTCCATATGTAGGCACTCACCACCTGATATATTCCTTTGGTTAGTCCAGATTTCTTAGAGTCAGAACCATCGCAAAGTGGGCAGCGTGTACTGCTTGCCCTCCCTTCTCAATCTTTCCCCTAATTATCACTGGCTTATGTGTTGCTAAGAGAAGAATATATGACAGAGCGATAAGATACATTCTGCCATGTCCTCATTTTAGAGCGATGTTCTCTTGGATGGTTAGGATTTAAATAGACTGGTCTGCTTTCATGCCTTGGGGATTCAAATTATAGCCAATTAGCTCAAAAATTGAATCCCAAGAAATGTTCTCCTCATCTCAATACAAAAGGTAACAGGCTAAAGTATTTTCTAATGCTTCGCTTTTCAGTGTTTTTGCAGTGATTCTACTTCTATTCCCTTCCTAGCGCTCTTACTGGTTTGGGGATAAAGCTAAGAAAAAAAATGAAAGAAAGAAATTCTATGAGACAATTGAAAGCAAGTATTTTGAAGCGGAACCTACTGATTTGGTGGCAGGTATCCAGCTCGAACATTTGTACAAGGTATTGTTTTACAGATCTCTTTTTCTTGATGGGACTGATACTTACTTTACAGTTAATCATAAATGTTTTTTTCTGCAAATACCAAGAAAAAGATCCCATGTTAACAAAAGGTTATCGCCATCCTGTTTACTTCCTTTGGGAAAGCTATAAATGAAACGTACATAGTATATAATAAATCTTTCTCTTTCCTCCAGAATAAAACTAGGTTTTCTATAAACTACAATGGTGGTCTTCTGCGAATACTCTCATTTTTTAAAATGGAGTCTAGTGTGGAGCTCGAATATTTGAATACGTGAATATTAATTCCTGTTCACAAATGTTTTACACTTGTCTGTTTGTAATCTCCCCTGTCAAGGCGTTCATCCAGGGGAGGACTCTTGGACCTCTGCATTTGTCTGGATGAGTTGCAGGCATGTAGCGTTCAGGCATCCTGTATATTCGCTGACATTCCATTGCCTCTCAGCATTCGACCTAACCTTGATTTGAGCTCCTAACCCCACTGCTTCAGGAATCCCAAATCCCTCCGTGCAAATTCAGCTGATTTTGGAGGTGTTTCCACTCTTGTGGGCCTCTCTGCTTCAGTGAGCTGCGCTGTCTCTGTTTTGGTTGGATCAACCCAAATGCCAAGCTCAGCCTTTTCCCTGGTGTCCTCAGGGCACGTGGGCTCCCACTCACAGTAGTAAATGTTGCTCCTCCTGTTACTGAGTGTCTGAACACCATCCCTCAAGGAGACCCGCCACTCGTCAAGGTGACTAGTGAGTCCTTTGAACGCTTTCACACTCAGCGGGCCTTCGTCTCACCTGGATGGGGTGAACACTACTCCAAGCATGTTTTTGCCTTTCCACCTGTGAAGCCTCAGCCAGCACCACATCCCAGAGCTACTGAGTGTTGAGCCCACCAGGATGGGATCATCAGACAAGGGGACCCACTGTTCCGCAGTGAGCTCACAACTCGGGGACGCATGGGTCTGTCACATCAATCCAGAAGCTGCCAACCCACGGGAGTGATGAAATGGCCTGCTGAAAGTATATTATTTGAGGCAACTGCTTACAGAGGGTAACCTGGGAGAGTGAGCTGCCATTCTTTAGGATGCAGCATGTACACAGTAAAGCAAAGGCCATTCTGTGGAGCTGTGTCCCCAACAGGTAAGATACATGGTTACAAACCAAGGGGTATAAGAGGAGTGGTCCTAGTTACTCGTACTCCTAGTTAGCCACTGGAGGAATCTGTGCTTCCTGTCATCCCAACCATGGGCTCTAAGAGGTCGTGAGACCCAAAGGGACTATGCAGCAAGAGTTCCTTTCAGCTATAAGCTGGTTGCGGCCAAGGCCCTTTGCACCCTTCATGCCAAGAAACCAGCAGAGAAGAACGGGAACCACCGTTTTGGCCAAGGGCCATGGACTCTGATCACCAGGCACTGCACAGGGGACCTTGTAGGATAGCTGTCACATAGAACAGGGAGGAAGACACTTGGCACGCACGTGATCTTTTGGGAGGTCTTGGCACTCGCCCAGCCAATTTGACAATAAATGGACAGATGCAGCAGTCATGGCCGGAGGAGTGCACAATAAGTTCAGGAAAAAGGTCCAGCTCGCCATCTCCGCGCCCCCGCTCTCCCCCACCCCACCCCGCCGCCAAATATACCACTTGAGTCAGCAGAGATGCTGGCCTAAGGTGACAGTAACCTAGAATGGATAGTAAAAGATGAAGAAAATGTCAGTCGCAGGGGCAAGGCCAACATCAGAGATCTGTAATTCACCCCACTTCTGTTCCTCATGTAAGTTTCCCCCCAGAAGAAGAGGTGCACTCGAGTCCTAGAGGAGCTGCTACCAGAACTTATGCAAAGGAAGAGTATTCCAGCAATGCAGGGATTGGACTGGATATAATATTACACTTTACTTCCCAGATGCCACCCTCTGGACAGAGAAACTGACTCCCCAGCTGTATAGAAGGGTGCATGTCACTGACAGCTTTAGCTGACAGCTGTCAGTGTCACCTTTGGAATTTCTTGGCCTGAGGAAAGCCACCGAAGCCCCTGCTCCTGCCTTGGGATGGCCTAAACCCAGTGACTGGTAAACATGGGCACACAAAGCCCCTGACCCTCAATTGGGGATAACTTTGAAGGGCCACTCTAGCCTGAGAGCCCCTCCCGGGGTCGCCTGGGCCTTAGAGTAACTGAACCGTAGCTCCTCTTCACCCTCTGCCTGGTCGCCCTTCCTTGCACGGGTTCTTACCTGGAGAGCATGCCTTAAGAAACATCCACATTCTACCTAATTTCTAGTTAAGGCTGCTTCCTGGGAACCCAATCTTGCAACAGGGACCTTGGGGTTGAGACCAGAATGGCGAGACTGGGCCAGATAGTTGAAAAACTAGGTCCAGAAGATTCAAAGAGAAAATAAAATTCAAACCTCTGAGGTAGGAAGGAGCTTCATGTGTTGAGGAACACAGAGGAGATCGAAGTTGGGGTGAAGGAAGCAAAGAGAAAGAGTGATAGGAAATAAATTTGGAGATGTAGACATAATACAAATTACGCAGGGGGCCTCGTAGGCCTTGGGTTCCGTTTCTTAAATAGTGGGTAATAATTAGAATTATAGGCCTTTATGAAGTAGAGGGATATGATCTGATTTATTTTTTGAAAAGACAGCTCTGGCTGCTGTGAGGAGTCGGAGCAGAAGACAGAAAACAAATTGGAGGCTTTTATAGAAGCTTCAGTAAGACGTGATAGCAGCAGGGACTAGGCTTGCGGCATTCAAGAATGAGTATTAGGGCCGGCCGAGTGGCTCAGTTGGTTAAGAGCTCGCTCAAGAGTGTGAGCTCTGAGCAACAGCGGTTCAAGTCCTGGCCTGAGGTGAGCTGCCACTGAGCTGCCAACAGGTGGCAGGATGGCTCAGCTGAAAAAAAAAAGAATGAGTACGATTCTCTATTCAGGATATACTTTGGAGTTCGAACTGAAAAAGCTTGCTCATTGGTTGGATGTGCGATTGAAGGGAAAGAAGAAAACTAAAGCGGCTGTTGGTTTTGTGGCTTGAGCAAATGGGTAGTTAGTAGAGCAATATATGGATATTGGAGACATTGGGGAAAGTTTGTAGTTTGTTTGATTAGCTGGCTTTTAAGTGAAGGTTTGGGGAATTCAGAGCTCCATTTCAGACATAGGCACCTAGACAGTAACCCAAGTAGAGATCAAAAATAAGCAGCTACATGAGCCTGGTTTTCAGGTCTAGGGAGAGGATAGGATGCGGAAGCCTAGGGAGAAAACAGCCATGCCATTTGGGATAAAAAAGAAAATGAAAAAAAGAAATGGCTTTTTTTTTTTTTTGGTGACACAGGATGTTTTGCCTTTATTCACCATCAGTGGGGAGTATTAGAGGGAATATACACTTTAAGTCTGAAGGAAATGGGCTTGGATACCAACTCTACCATTTAAGTATTGTGTTTCTTAAGCTGTTTTCCTTTCATTTTCATTAAAAATGGAATCAAAATTTTCTCACCAGTTTTCATAGTGCCTGTGTATGCTTCAGGTGATCAAATATTTACAGACCGTCTCTCTTTGGAGGCATCCATCTTTCTGTGAATTTAAAACTAGGTTGTTGCCTGGAAAACTCCCTTCTCTGACGGGTTTGAGAAATTAAGCAGAAGAAATTTGAGTAGATACCCAGGAGAGGGATTTCTGGGTCACACGGTAATTCTATTTTTTTTTTTTAATTTTGAGGAATCTCCACACTGCCTTCCATAGTGGCTGCATCAATCTGCATTCCCACCAACAGTATATGATGGTTCCTTTTTCTCCACAGCCTCTCTTGTTATTATTTGTCTTGTGGATGATAGCCATTCCAACTGGTGTGAGGTACCCAAGAAATCTGGAAACATTAATCCAGAAAGACATATGTGCCCTGATGTTCATTGCAGCTTTATTTACGGTGGCCAAGACATGGAAACAACCAAAGTGCCCTTCGATAGATGATTGGATAAAGATGATGTGGTATATATGCACAGTGGAATACTATTCTGCTATAAGAAAAGATGAAATAATGCCATTTGTGGCAACATGGGTGGATCTTGAGATTATGCTAAGTGAAATAAGTCACACAGAAAAAGTTGAGAACTATATGATTTCACTGATGTGTAGTATATAAAACTGAAAACAACAAAGGAACAAGACAAACAAATGAAGAAACAAAAATTCATAGACACAGACAATAGTTCAGTGGTTACCAGAGGGGAGGAGGGAATGGGGGTGGTAGATGAAAGTGAACGGGGTCAAATATATGGTGATGGAAGGAGAACTGACTCTGGGTGGTGAACACACAATGTGATATATACAGAATTGTACACCTGAAACCTGTGTAACTTTACTAACCATTGTCACCCCAATAAACTTTAAAAAGAAAAAAGAAATTTGAGATGCCTATAGAACATCTATGTTTCAGATGTTCTGTGTGGGTTTTCAGGTGGCAGTTCTCCAAATTAGGACAAAGGCATTGACTGAAGAACATTGTGGTATCTCCTGCTTCAAGATGGTAATTGAAGCAAAGCAAGAATGGGTGAGATTGTTCAGGGGCTATTTACAGATTGACTGTAAAATTCTAAAACTTCCGTTATGCCTTCAAATATTTTTCACTTTTCACAGTTTCGTCCTTCTTACATTTTTGTTTTTTTCCTCATGAGAGCTTATGTGGCATTGTTTGTTCTATACATAGTTCATATGAGTGTTTGTTCTTCCAAACTGATACTGAGAGATAAAATTAGTATTTTGGCTTTTTACCCCCACAGGAATTCCGAATGCGGAACACTACCAAAATAGCTGTAAAAGACTTGACCTTGAATTTATATGAGGGGCAGATCACTGCTCTTCTAGGACCTAATGGCGCAGGAAAATCAACTACTCTATCCATTCTCTCAGGTATGTGTTTAGCTCTGTTCAGCGGGTGTCCTCACATAGACATTCTAGATAAAACTTATAAGACTTTGGTGTATCCCCTTGATGTTAACAGTTTAGTCATTTCAAGGATCCATAAAGTTGTCTAGTAATCAATCCACTTTCTAAGTTGTAAATAACTTGTGAGAGATAACCAGGTGTCAGATTTTACAAAGACATCAAAGTAACCATTATAAACCTGTTCAAAGAACTAAAGGAAACCATGATTACAGAAATAATGAAATGTATACTCATTGAGTAGGAAATATTCAATAGAAAGATAGAAGTTACTTTTTAAAACATAGTGGGAATCCTGGAGTTGAAGAGTTCAATGAGCAACATGAAAAATTCATTAAAGAGGCGCAACAGTAGATGTGAATTGTCAGGGGAGAGAATCAGTGAACTTGAAGATAGACTGATAGAGGTTATACCACCTGAATAACAGAAAGAAAAAAGAATTTTAAAATGTAACAGAGCCTCAGAGAAACTTGGCATAACTTTAAATGCACCAACATACATGTAATGCGGATGCAAAGAGAAGAGAAAGAGAATAAGGCGGAAAAGGTATTCTAAAAATTAATGGTTGAAACTTTCGAAATCTGCATATCCAAGAAGCTCAACAAACTCCAAATAGGGTAAATGTAAAGCGATCCACACCCAGACACATCATAGTTAAAATTCTGAGAGACGAAGGGAAAATATCGAAAGCAGAAGAGAAAAAGGATTTGTCACATACAGGGACATCCAACGAGACTGACAGCTGACTTCTCATTAGAAACAGTGGAGGCCAGGGAGGCCAGATGAGACAATGTGTAAAAAGTGCTGAAGGTAAAAAATGTCAAATAAGTGTTTTCGAATTTTTCAGGTAGATAACCAGAAGAGGGATTTCTGGGTCATATGATAGGTCTATTCTTAATTTTTCAAGAAACCGCCAGACTGTTTTCCATAGTGGCTGCACCCATTTACACTCCCACCAGCAGTGTGCGTGGGGGGGCCCCTTTTCTCCACATCCTCGCCAGCACTGGTTATTGCCTGTCTCGTGGATAACAGCCATTCTCATGGGTGTGAGGTGGTGAGATGTTGCTCATTCTAATAAGCCTATTTTGAAGCTGAGGTGCTAATGGGCAGTTTGTTGTCATGGTGCTTCACAAATCTAAGTGTCCTGTCCTCTGCTTCATTCGAGGGCTCTATCCTGCCACCAGCGGAAAGGCCTATGTTAATGGATATGACATCGCCAGGCAGATGGTCCAGATCAGGAAAAGTTTGGGCTTGTGTCCCCAGCAGGACTTGTTGTTTAATTACTTGACAGTATCAGAACACCTTTATTTCTATTGTATGGTAAGCCACTCTATTCGCGCACTTAAGAGAGATGACTGACTGCCAATATCCCAATTGTCAGAAAGTTCAAAGATTTTTTTTTTTAAGATTTTTATTGGTGAATTGGGGGGATGGGAACAGTGCTGGAGAATTGGGGGAAGGGGGACAGACAAGTTGCTGTCGTTTTGTTCTTCAGTCTAGTTGTGGAGGATGTTGCTTCACTGGCCCAAGTTGGCACCATCATTGCGCTCTTCCTGGGTGAGG